TACCTCTCTGTGGTGCACATCACTATATTTGGCTGCTAAAGAATTTGCCAGTGCTAAATTCTTTGCTGACATGGCCCTGGTTCCTATGGAAGCTGCTAAGGTTCATATTCAGACCCAACCAGGTTATGCCAACACATTAAGGGATGCAGCACCCAACATGTATAAGAAGGCCTGAAAGCATTCTGTCTTCTCATCCTCAGTGGATGAGACAGATACCATAACCAGGATGAAGGTCCCTGCTTTGAACGTACTGTTGAAGCATTGTACGAGTTTGTGGTTCCTCAGCCCCACCTGAATGTACAAAGGCAGAGCAGCTGGTTGTAACATTTGTGCCAGGTTACATAGCTGAAGTCTTTTATGTAATTGTTTCTCACCCTGCTGATTCTGTAGTGTCTGTGTCACATAAAGAGAAAGGTAGCAGCGCTTCCCAGGTCCTCCAGAGACTTGGATTTAAAGGTGTAGGGAAGGGCTCTTTGCCTGTCTCATCACGCGTGGTACCCTGCACTGCAGTCGGTCATCTATGACTCTGTGAAGGTCTACTTCAGGCTTCCTCGCTCTCCTGCACCTGAGATGCCGAGTCTCTGAAGAAGCAGCTCGAGTTAACTCAGTAAAAGATGAAAGCAAATATGAACTGAATCTGCTTGCTGATCAGTGTTGAAGAAAGTACAAAAGGCACTTTTATATATTTGACAGTGTAGGAAATTGTCTTTCCTGATGTAATTACTATAGTACCTTGGGTAAGGCAAGAGTTTCAAATTTGCTGTTGAAATAAACCTAGCTGTTCAAAGAAAAAAAAAAAAGACATCTTTAGGTAAAAATGATAAAAAACCCCATGCTGCATAGATAATGCAGATAGTTCTAGTTTTCTAGTCAACGGGCAAAAAGCAAGCACTTAAGGTCTTCAGCTCCCATCTTTTGTCCATTTCTTATTGCTGGAATTTCATATAGGTCTCTTCTTGTTCGATGACTAAACCGGATGATGGCAGAGATGCTAAGCTGGCATTTACCCAGCCCTGCCCTGTCTCGCCTTGGGAGTGGAGAAATTCTTAGCTGGTGGATCGGCTGCTTTGGCCTCTTTCCCATCTTGTGGTTTAGGCTTTTCTGGGCATTTACGTGGGTAATTGAAGTTGCAATGGTACCAACGTTGAGGCAGCTGCTGACCTTGGGTCTCAT